AGCAGTGGGAAAGGAAGGACAGTTACAATTCATGTTATGAGATTGAAAACTGATATGACTTAGTGACAAAGCAGGTGTGAAGAGTGAGAGGGCTGGAAGTGACTGAAGTTTCAAGCCTGAGTGAGTAGCTATTAAAAGAAACACAGAAGTTAGAATGAGAAGTTAGCTGGAGGGGAAACATCACAGTGAGAAACAGAAGGCAAGAATGTTACATGGGGAGCTGACAACACCAGATTTTAAAAGAACATAATGAGCCCTAGCTGGCTTGGCTCAGTGGATAGAGCATCAGTCTGCGGACTGAAGGGTCCCAGGTTTGATTTCGGCCAAGGGTACATGCCTGGGTTGCGGGCTCGATCCCCAGTAGGGGGCGTGCAGGAGGCAGCCGATCAATGATTCTCATTATTGATGTTTCTATCTCTCTCCCTCCTCCCTTCCTCTCTGAAATCAATAAAGAAATACATAAAAAAAAGTAATGAAAAAGGTGTAAGAAAGAATACAAAACCAAGGGTGAGTTAAAGAAGTGCTAAAAACTTCTACAAATAGAATCAGGAAGGTTAATAGTCTTGTCACATAGTAGGCACTCAAAAAATATTTTGTTATTGAGTGAATGAGCTGAGGTTTGTGGAAAATTCTTCTCTCTATAACACACTGCCCTTCAGGCTTTTTGTTGCTTGGAGAAGATGTCATGTGAAAAACAAGAAGGAAGAGCCATTCAAATGCTACTTTGCTTCTCTCTTTTCCAGAAAAAGAGTGATCTTTAATCTGGATGAGGTGGAGCAAACATAGAGTAGAGGGAACAACAGTAGTGTAAGATGGGAGAGGAGCTGGACAAGTGCCCAGTCCCTTTAATTCATGTCCAGTGACGCACAGAAGCATGGGGATGTTCAGTGAAGGGAGAGTTAGCCTCAGTGTTGTAGTCAATTTATCTGGCTACATCCTGAGTAGGAGTAGGAATTTAGCAAGACGTAAAAAGCATTGGCTTTGCAACCCACAGAACTAGATTCAAATTCTGAGGTAGCCACTTTGGTAGCTGTGTGAACTCCAGTAAGTCACTTGATCTCTTCAGATGTCAGTCTTCCCCATTTGTGAAAACAAGGTCAACAATCCTTATTCTCACAGATTTGCCGTGAAGATTAAATGAGGTAAAGTACACAGAACCTGGGTTAAGTGACAGGCACTTAGTAAGATGAACATGCTGGTACACATATCTTTGCTCCTTTTCTGATTGTTTTCTTGGGTCCAGCAATGGCATTAAAGTGTGGAAGGGTACCACTCTCCAGAACATGTACACTCCCTCCAGCTGTGTATTAAAATGTACAGTATTTTGTTTTGAGCCTCTAACAGCCAAACAAGAGTAAAACTAGATCAGTTTGAAAATCGAAAGTCAAGCTGGGAGTTCTAGTCACAGAGCTCCCCCGAAACAGGGCCCAGATGTTGTTGGGTGCAGCATTATAAATTTACTTGAGCTTTTCTATGAATATGTTACCGAGGATTAAATGCAGAATTGTAGTAGGGAGGAGACAAGACATACTTGGGAGAGAGGCAAGACATACTCCTCACCAAATCTGGTGGCTAGAGGGGATTCACAGACCAACACCAGCTGGTTCATCTCATCTAGCAGGGAAAACTTCCTGTTCTAGAGCCACCACCAAGAACTCCATACAAAAAAAGAAAGAAAAACATTCATGATACAAAAGGGAGAACTAAGAAATGAAAAATGAACTAGAAGGATTCACAGCAAACTCATGGTTGGTAATTGCCAGGGATTAGGCAGAGGTGGGAAAGTACCTTTGACATTGGGGATCAAAGGTACTTCAAATGTATTGGGGAAAATTTTATTACATACATAGAAATACATATAAAGCCTAAAAGCAGATATGTCAACATGCTAACAACTCTCAATTCTTGGAGCTAAGAAAATTTTGTACTTTATGCTTATCTGTATTTTTAACTTATTTAAGAGGAAAAAATGAAAAAAGGAGAGATTACTGTAGGGGACGGTACATTGGTAAAGGATTCCTGGAAAAGATTAGGTTTGAGGCAAACTATAAAAAATGCACTTTGGCCCTAACCGGTTTGGCTCAGTGATAGAGCGTCGCTGCGACTGGGGGGTCCCGAGTTCGATTCGTCAGGGCATGTACTTGTCGCGGGCACATCCC